GGGAGGAGGACAAGCTATGTGCGCTCACGTCCTACCCCTCCCTCCCATCCCTTACGCTCACGTCCTACCCCTCCCTCCCATCCCTTACCATGGCGCTGATTTTCTCTATCCGCGGACACGTGACGTAGCGGACCTGTGGCTCCGCACGCGCGTGCGTAGTGGGTGGTGGTGCGCGTGCGTGTGGGCGTGGTTGTGGTTGTGGCGGTGGTGTTGTTGGTGGTGGTGGTGGTCGTGGTGGTGGTGGTGTGTGTGTGTGTGCGTGTGTGCGCGTGTGCTGTGGTGTGACGTGGTGTGGCGTCTTGGTGGTTTGGTGGTGGGCCAGGTGCATGCGTGCGTGATGGCGGTGGTGGTGGTGGCGGTGGCTGTGGTGTGTGTGTGTGCGTGTGTGCGTGTGTGTGTATGTGTGTGTTTGTGTGCGTGTGTACATGTGTATGTGTGTGTATGTGTGTATGTGTGTGTGAGTGCGTGCGTGCGTGCGTGCGTGCGTGCGTGCGTGTGTGTCTGTGTGCGCGCGCGTGTGATGTGGTGTGACGCGGTGTAGCGTGGCGGTGGTGGGTGGGGTAGTGGGGTGGTGGTGGCGGTGCGCGGTGGTGGTGCGCGTGCGTGCGTGCGTGCGTGCGTGCGTTGATGGGTGGAAGTGGCAGTGGGCGGGGCGGGGCGCGGGGCGGTGGTGGCGGGCGGATGGGCGCGCGAGAAGAGGCCCGCGCTGGGGCGAGAACGCCATCCTGAACGACGGAGGCAAAACACCGATCCGGAAATAAGGCCCACGCTGCAGCGGGAGCACGATTCGGAACGAGCGGAAGCCCGAAAATGAGGCCGGCGCCTCAGCGAGAGCAGCATTTTGAAAAGAAGATCCAAGCGAAAACCCAACTCCGGGAAATCCTGTGTGTAAAAAACAATACGCGGAGGGGTGCCCGCTATCTTCCGCACGCCATCAGGAGATGGAGGAGAGTGTATTCATATTGAGTAATTGTGGAGGAGGAGGAGGAGGAGGAGGAGAAGGAGGAGGGGCGAGGAGGAGGAGGAGGAGGAGGAGGAAAAGGAGGAGAAGGAGGAGGAGGAGGAGAGGCGAGGAGGCGGCTCGGGACGTGCGCCTGCCGCCAGGGTCCACGTCGATGTGGTCGCTCCGAGGCAGATTTGACTCGATTCCATATCTTGGCTCGATTCCAGCCTTGGCTCGGTTCCAGTTTTTCGTCGGCCCGATGCTCAGAGGAGGGAGAGGTACCGGTGCCGGTCGCCTTCTCTCGTTTTCGCCTTTCTGGGCCTCCTGGGATGCCCTCGTCGTCACGGCTGGATTGGCTTCGAAGTCCTGGTCAGAACGCACCCCGGCAGTGGTTCGGGGAGTAGCGGTATGGGTACCTTGCGGTTTCCCCAGGCCCGATGTTCGCTTGACGTTGTTGTGCACCCTGGTACTGCCGATCCGATTCGGCGCACGTGACGATTCTGCGATTTACAAATTCAGCGTTGCTGGGCCCTGCTCGCACCCTGGTTCGCGTCGCGTCGGCGTGGCCGCGACTCCAGCGGGTCCGTTCAAGGTTGAGCGCCGCCAGTGGCCTGGACTCGACGCATGTCGAACAAAGTTCGCTGTCGACCCACGCGGTGCCAAGAACCAATAGTTGGGTCCTCACACAACGAGCCCGCCGCACCCAGACCTCCTTTTCCTCCTCCTTCTCATCCTCCTCCTCAATCCTTCTCCTCCTCAATCCTCCTCCTCCTCCTCCTCTTTCTCCTCCTCCTCCTCCTCCTCCTCCTCCTCCTCCTCCTCCTCCTCTCCCATTCCCTGATACAGACCTCCTCCCTGTCGCACCCTTCGACATGTCGGCATGGCGGGCCGGGCGTGTCGCATGATGCTTCCTGACCGCGTGTGTGTGTGTGTGTGTGTGTGTAACAGCTTCACGGATGGAGGGTCGTGTTCAAAATGCTGCTCTCGCCTTGGCGCCGTGCGCATTCGTTCAGAAAGTGTGCGGCCGCTGCGTGGATGGAGGGCGGGTGGTTCTCAAAATGTGGTTTTCGTCTTAGCTCCCCGCTTCGGAAGATTCGTGAATGCCTCGGAAGCTTCGGAATGCTTCGTGAATGGTTTTCGTCTTAGCTCCCCTTTCGTCTCAAAATGCTTTGTGAAACTTTGCAGCAGCTTCTCTGATGGAGGGCGGCAGATTTTCAGAGTGTGGCTTGTTGTTGCCTCAAAGTCCGCAGAAGCTTCACACATGGAAGGCGGGTGGTCATCAGCATCTGGCTTTCACGCCAGCGCCGCGCGCAGTTGTCTCAAGAGTTTAGAGCAGCTTCGCGGATGCAGGGTGGCTCCTTTTCAACATGTGGTTTCCGCCTGAGCGCTGCGAGCATTCGTCTTAACAGTTCGCAGCAATTGTTCAAGGATGGACGGCGGCTGGGTTTCAAAATGCTGTTCTAGCCTTGGCGCCGCGCGCAGTTGCACTAAACGTTTACAGCAGTTTCAGGGATAGTGGGCGTTTCTTTTTCGAATTACGTTTCTCGCGTTCACGTAGCGTACATGCACCTGTAATCTTAAACGGTTGCAGCAGTTTCATATATTCGTATGGTTCAAGTCCCAAGGACGGCGTTCTAGCACGATGTAGGAGCGTCAGGACGCAACAGTCACGTTGATTCGCTGTACTGAAGACGCAAGAACGGTGTTCTGGCAAGACTAAGGATTGTCAGAACGCAACAGCCACGTTGATTCGCGGCGTTGATGTCCTAGGAATGGTGTTTGGGCACGATTGAAGATGATCAAACGGTTGTCTTCTAATGATGCACTTCCCGCAATGAAGATGCATTCTTGTAGGGGCCTACGAGGAGGAAGCTTCGAGGACGGTTGTTTGCAACATTGCTTGCCCCTTGGGTTTACACTGATCCACCTCCTCCTTCCTCCTCGTTCCTCCCTCCCTCCTCGTTCCTCCATCCCTGCCCCTCCCTTTTCCTCCCTGCCCTTCCCTCCCTCCCTCCCTCCCCTCCCTGCCCCTCCCCTCCCTTTCCCTCCCTGCCCCTCCCCTCCCTCCCTCCCTCCCTCCCTCCCTCCCTCGTTCCTCCTCGTTCCTCCCTCCCTCCCTCCCTGCCCCTCCCTTTCCCTCATCCTCCTCCCCCCTCGCACTGCCCCCGCGTGCACGAGGCTGCGCGCACGGGCCCAGGCACTGCGCCTGGCCAGGGGTCTCGCCTGGAAGCCGGCCCCAGGCCTCTCTGGAGAAGCTCGGCCGAACGATTGCGGGGCAGAGGTTGCGGGCTGCTCACAGACAGCCCCCCCCCCCCCAGGTTGTCCCAGCTAGCCTCAAGAGGCTCCCCCAGGTAGCCCCATGTGACCTCAACAGAGGAGGAGGAGGAGGAGGAGGAGGAGGAGGAGGAGGAGGAGGAGGAGGAGGAGGAGGAGGAGGGGGATGGAGGGAGGAGGGGGAGGGGAGGAGGGGGAGCAGGAGAGGAGGAGGAGGGGGAGGGGAGGAGGAGGAGGAGGAGGAGGAGGAGGAGGAGGGATCCCCGAGTTGCCCAGGGCGGTCTCGGCACCCTGGCGCCGCCTCCGGCGGTGCCCCTGGGGCGCCCTCGCGCAACTGCCGGGGGGGGGGGGGGGAGGCTGTCCGCGCGCAGCCCGAAGCCTTACCGGCCAAGCTTGCCAGCGGCGCGCAGACAGGTTGTCCTCAATGGGATTACACGTGGCTCATTTCGAATTCTTCGAAAGGTCTTTGATTTCTTGGGGGCCAAGATCCTTTCATTTCTAATTGTTCTATCCTGGGCCTCTTCCTGGACACGAGGGGGCCAGGAACAGTTAGAATCGAGCACAATTAGAAGAAGAGCACGATTAGAAATGAACGACGTGTAAGAAGATGTTGGCTGCATTGGATTGGCATTGAGATCATATCACAGGTTCACGTGATGATGGCGGTCGATCCAGGATCATCCTCCTGCACCTCCCCTGGGCGACACGGCTCAGGCTGCGGTGGCCAGCCATTTTTGGCGGGCGGGTGCCGTGTCTGGCCAGGGATGGGCCGCACTCTGCGATGGGCGCGCGGTGTGCTCAACTCGTCCTACCTGGGCCAGCTCAGGGCGAAGTCCAGGTCGGAGGTCCGCGCGACGAGGCTCCGCGGCCGTGAGCGCTACCGTTGAAACCGTTTTTCTTTCGGCAGCGCAGCGGGGACGCCACGCGCACGTGGATGCAAAT